AAAATATTATATCTGGATAAAATTTAAATATCACAATAAATTTAATTCTCTTTTAGAGAAGTTAAATGTGGACAAAATAAAAATAAATAGATACGAGTTTCAATTAAATTGTCCCTGAAAGAATATTTGTTCTTAAAAATTCCACGAAAATGTGTCTCCACATAAAGTTCCATAAATTTGCACCACGGTTATTCTTTATCGACGCTGAGGATCTAAGTGCGGCTATGCGTAAAACGTCTGTATAATTGGACGAAGCAAGGTGTGAAATTGTTGGCGATAATTCAAACGGATGAGAAGTCGTAACGCGTTTCAGCAGTAAAACACTGAAATTCCACGCCTTGAAAAGACACACATGTTATATCGGTCAAGCTAATCTCGCAGTTTACAAAACCTATTTAAAACCATCGATGGTATCTTCGCGTAACCGTTAATACGACTATTTCCTTTTAACGAAATGTAAGATAATAAATAGTATATTTGTTTAAAAAAGAGTACGCGATTCATCTATCTTTTCTTAAGATCTTTTAAATGTCTTAAAAATATTCGAAAAAAATTTAGACGATAAATTTTGATTAAGAAGAATTATTTGACTCGTAGTTATCTAACCACATTATTACTTGAACTTTTATTTTTGTGAAGCCTACGTCATTATTATTTCCCTTCTTCATGCGGTGTATGAAAGAAGAAAAAAAATCTAAGCTAGAAAAACACAGGCAATAGGTTTTCCGTAGAAGCGAAGGAAAGTAGTTAAAGACGGGAAGAGCGGCAATAAGAAACATAGCAGGCCCGCATGTGACATCCGAGACACTTTTTCCCTTTCTTCGGCTATCTCCCGTCATCCTCTCGAAAGGCTTCGGTTGGTAAGGAGGAAGAGAAAGAGATTGAATCGTCTCCTCCTGGCCAGCTGGTACAACTTCCCCCCCGTCCTTAATCTCTCCCCGCCTGTCTCGTCTTCACGACACGGACGAGCTCGATGAAAGACAACACTACCCTTCGTCCCTTCCTTTCGCTCTCTCTCTCTCCTCATCGCTTTCGTAGTTCGATCGTACCACAGAATCGTGGCGTATTGTAGACTTTTTGAAAGAGCACAAAGGAATGCTCTCGCTGCGAGCTATTTTGAAATGAGCTAAGAGAACCACGAAAAATGCGTATTTGTTCACGGAGAAGATATTAACTCCGATATCAACTGCTTTAAACGAACATATCTGTATATATTCTTCGATTTTCAGCGGATTGTATAAATATGTTCGTGATGACACAACCTAAAGCGTAAGATATTAAAATATTCCTACATTTTTAGAAATTGCATCGAACGTTACGAATGGTAGGCGAAGTAGGTGAAAAGTAACAGAGAGGAGGTTGATACTTAAGCACCAAGTAATTAAAACAGCTTTTACCGCGACGCACAAACGACTCACTCTGTCGAGTATTCAGTAAGCTAATTTCCCAGAACAATCTGTCGTCGGTACTTAAACCGCCTGTTTAGGCAGGCGGTGAAGCAAGTAAACTAGAGGAAGCATGCGACGGTGCACGAATATAGGGAGATACAAGATCAAAGACGAGAGACCTTCCGAACGCGGAAGAACATGTGCCACCACATCATAATAAATCAAAAAATAAAACGTGCATAAAGGTAGGAATATATTATTCTAAGCAGTATTTTAATACCAACAACAAAGAATGATTATGTAAAAGGCGCATGGTATTTGGAAAATTTCCCATATATATCTACTTCTGGCAATACCAGATGCCTAACATGTGTAATGTAAAATACCTACTAAAATGTGTTTGTACGAAAATAAACATTGCTGATGTATTTTAAGAATTTTTTGACAGATCGCACATTCGACACAAGATAGAACGATCAAAGCAACAATCTATAGAAAGATTACGTCGCATTTCCGGATATTTTTCAGCTCCCGTTTTAAAGCTTTGCGCGCGTAGATAAATTTTAAAAGAATGTCTCTCCAAAATGAAAAGAAACGCCGACCACGTTAATTGGTTTGCGACGAAGTCGCCTGTGACGGCGACAGGCCATTAGATGTGTTTTTCTAGGCGCTACCACTTCTCGCAGAGATAATATTTTGACGATGCGTGGCCGGTGTGTGTGGCCAGTGTGTGTGAGCGTGTGCGTGGTTAGAACTGCGTACGTTAGTCGACGTTTAGGCCACCTTATGCAAACATGAATTTTCGACGGTCAAGTCGCGGTAATAACACTTTCGTGTGCAAACAAAACGCGGAAGTCCCGGGCGGGTTACCGAAGTTTGCCGTGCATAGTCGCGTTTAAACCATTATATATTTTTTTTCGTGCATCGGCTCATTTTCCACCCTCGAACAACGCACCTATGCAAATCCATTAACGTCTCTTCATACCTCCAAGATTGTTTAGAGTGCGCGCGATACGCGCGTCAGTGACGCACATTCGGCTGAGGAGAAAATAAAATAAAAGCACGAGAGAGAGAAAGAGGGAGAGAGGAGCTAAAGTTTCAAATTTACGGTAATAAGTTTGAAAAAATGGAAAATCGATTATATCGAGTACTAATCGATTATATCGAGTACTAATTAACTAAGTACTAATTATGTATTAAAATATATAATATACTAAATATATTAAAATTCCTTATAAACTCTCCAAAAAAATAGCTTAAACATTACAAATATTTAACAGCGAAAAAATACAAAATCAAAACTAAATAAAAAGTATATCTTACGATCTTATTAAACTGCTGTAGCTTTTTAAATCGCGATTAAATCTCTAGACGAGACATCAACAAAAACTTTCTGTATAAAAATAATTAATTGGTATCGTTGATTTTAATTTATTTGTCAAGTTTCACATTAAATTCAAAACAGGAAGCGAGCTTTCCTCGTTCGAAAAAGAAAAATAGCAAATTAGTTTAAATTTTTCACGTCAAGTTTGATCTCATTTCTAATATCGAACTACAAAAGCGGCTATGATAGTAAATATACGTATATCAATCTCATAAAGAAGGAGCATTTACTTCCTCCCCAAGAATGTATCTATAATCTATCTATCCACTCAGACATAATCAACCGCACAAATCTCCGACGTGGAATCGTTAATGTTTCACCTCGTACGTCCAAAGAAACTTGACGCGACGTGCCATTGTACGCATTGTTCGTCGTGAACACATATACGGTGTATACTCACGAGCATAAATACGTCTTATCGAAAGAATATCGAGTATTATCGACATACGACCAAATAGCGGATCGGTAATGGAGACCCGGCCATCTATTCGAAGAAAAGAGATACGCGTCTGCCATGGCACCGGATAGTCCCGACGTCGTATATAAAGCCTGTCTTCACCAGCGATATTTATTTGTCCGGATGGCGATACGCCGCGCCGGGTGTCCTGCGCTTCGGGGCTTATCGGATCACCCGACGTGTCCGAGATCGGATAATTGTTCTGAGAACGAGTCGCGATAGGGTGCTGTTCCACCCCGTGCGAGACAATTGCGTGGATAATCTTATTAGTGCGCTAAATGTAAGGTATACGAGCGAGATAAAGTGCAGAAGCGGATGCGAAAGAAACTTCCACTTTATCGCTATAGTCTTTACTTTAGCAGAGAAGCCGTTTTAGTTTCCAGAGGATACCGCTATCCGATACGTTATTATATAGGCTCTATATTACTACTATATCACGATTTGTATATAATGGTTTATCACATTACTGGATATAATAATAACAGTCTACAGCAAGTTTCATTTTACATATATAATGCGCTATTTCTGTATCAAACTATACTTATTATGTTGTTTATGTTTAGGAAAAAATTTTCTCTAATGCTCATTAAGAATATCTAGAATTTAACCCGGTAGATGTGATAAAACGATAAATACAAGGTACAAGTTTGTATTGTATATTACCTACTTTTTCTAAAAAATCACATATGATATGTTTTAATATAACAAAATTTATTTGAAAACAAAGACAAAAATTTAATTTTTTAATTTTAATTGCATATTATATGCATGTATTATATCTGATATATTTATTAATGCACAAAATAGTATTTTATAATTTGCGGTTTATAGAACATTTTTTATAATTATTCTAAAAAAGTATTGTATTAAATAACTTTTTCAAAGTCGATTATATGATGTAAAGATAAAGACTTTAGATTATAATCAAATATAATACAAATATCATGTAGTCTACATCGTATCAAACTGAAAGAAAATCACGCCGATTAATAATTAATGATCATCCATAGCTCTTTACTATATTCCGACAAATCGTCCAACGCGGAAACATAAATCGTCGATCATTACCTCACCATTGGCGAAAGAAATATATCTAAATATGCTCCTACTTACAAAGCAATAATAATTGCGCTGTTTATAAATAACCGCGACTTTCATCAAAGCAAGCACGAAGCACGACCCTTAGCGAAAAAAAAAGTAGAGAGAAAAACGCGTTTATCCATAAATATTTACATACCACTAGAGACGCGCAAATTAAATAACGTCTAGAAACTTCGAACAAACAGAAATGTAAATTTTAATAAACGATGAGCATACCGATGACATAAAAGATATAGAATCAACCTATTGAGTCGTTCGATATTAATTATCCGGTAAGTAATAAGAAAACGCGATATTCCAAGAATATCATTGCAAAAATATAGTTATACCACAGTAAAATACGTTCGAAATCTTATATGCGATTAAACTTTACCGTATTAGTAATATATAAAAACTTTAACACAATATTACTATAATCTTTCACATATTAAGAGATTTAATACGGATATACTTTCAATTATATTTAATTATATCTAATCATATTATATTAATAATATACATATATATTACTAATTCTGACGAAATCAACAACGAAGAAAACTGAGATATCTATAATAATATACTATTAAATTAATACTATTAAATTGTTTGCTGTGCTTGTATGAAAAGTTTCCTGATATTATAATATTCGTGACACATTTGCTGAATTTTTAGAGACTGAAAATAGTACTCACTTTCGGCCACTGTCGAGAAATCTGTCGAATTCCACCGACATCTTACAACAAAGGGCCCGCCGATTGTGCGAGGATGAGCACTTGGTGTTGATCATGTGGCTGTCTGAAAGCAAAGGAAGAGGGCTGAATGTAGGGTGGGCGTGCAATTAATTAAGAGGTTAATAATCATCCTCGTGAGCCGCTGCTACGGCGCGGCGCGGCGGTGCGGCGGTCTAATTAATTCGAGCTGATGGTTCTCGCTTCTTCAGGAGCGAGAACCATCCTTTCGGAAAGAGGGTGTATCGCGATCGATGATATACGCATACACGTATACACGGATCCTCTTTGTCAAACAATCAAATCGCAAGTAATTCTTAATCGTAATCAAAGATAATTATTTTATATTAAATTATACGTAAAAGAAAAGAGAAATTCAAAGTGAAAATCCATTCGCAATCCGATCCAAAGAATCACTTCTAACATCCGTTCGCAGCTTGTGTCTCGGTCGTAACTGACTTGCTTATATATAATAACATGCACTAGCACTCAATCACAGGCTACGAGTCACACTGGCACGTCGCAACACATAGGAAAACAATTGATTTCATATTTAAAATTAGCCAACTTACGGAGAAATATATATGTAGGGGAGAGTGGGGGAATTGCAAACACCTAGGGAAAAAGTTAAATAAAGCTCCGATGATTATTTATCAATTATAAGTCTTTATTTTAAATTTAAATAATACTCCAGTTATTTAACTTTAAACTACAATAATTAATATTTATAGATTATCAACATAAACTATAATTTTAAACAAAAAGCAAAACGGGCGGGTAACTCCAAATGGCAAGGGTTTTGCTTTAGAAGCAATTTAAATAAAAAGCAACCAAATGCCGTGTAATCAATAAATAATTAATCGAATTAATTTCCTCTAAGTGGTATTTTCTATGGTGTCATTGCGCGAGATCGAGATCTCCCGCGGCGCGCGAGGTTCTCGGCATCCACACCTGAATAAATCGCGCAGGATGAATCGAGTTCGAGTCAGGTAGAAACGGTAATGAGAAATGGCCGATGCGGAGGTGCAAACCGGTGCAGAGCGCGTGGTGAGGTCAAATGTCGGACGGTGCCCGAGGGTTCGCGTGCTCATCCCTCCTCCTGCGACCTTCCGTACCCGATATTATCCTCCTCGGGACCCGCGTCCACCCACGCTCCTGCCTCCGCTGCTCGTGACTAATGCGTAGCCCGAGTTATGAGCGAAGTACGAAATAATATCGAGTTTATTATAGAAACGTCTTACGCGCGCTACGGTAATCCGCGCGCTTTCATCTTTTCCTGCGCAAGACCGTGCCCTACGACTGTCGTATATGTTATTCAACTTTCATCACTTAAATTAATCCTCAATACCAATACTCTTTATCTCGCGTGTGAAAGTTCGGTAATTGCGATGCTTTCCCTTGACAATTTCTTTCCTTTTCTTTCTTGTCGATCTTCGAAGAACGACAGCGTTATTGTCCAGATGACCGAAATAACGGCCGAACGAGAACTTGCTCTTCACCTCGTCCACTGACAATGAGCATCATTCACGTTCCCCGGTGCATCTTTTCGTCCTCCCTTGGCCATTTCTCATCATCCGCTTTCTCCGCCTGCTCGTCATCTGCATCCGCGCCTGAGGGTGCAATTGGGATGCGCTTCATAGTAAGGTTAGCAATGATATCGCCGATCAAAATTCGCCGTTGTTATTATAAGCCCGTCACTAACTTACATTGCGACTAAAGCAAACGATAAATCCGATTTCCATCGTATTACAAAAATTTGCTTCAATAATACGAGTAATAAAATCTTGATACGAATTTTATTTTAAAACTACACTAAAAAATATATTACTTCATGCAAGAAAATAGAATTTTTGGATTTTATTTTCCTTAATTCAAAGAAATATAAGTTAGATTCGAGAAAATATTCTAAACTCAGAAAAATGTTTTCTCAAATCTACCCAGTACTTCTTTGAATTAAAAAAACTAAATTCAAAGAAATCTATTTTCTTACAAATAATTTTTTTTCCAGTGTGGTTACACTAAATTTCAATAACACTTAACAAATTTTGTATAATAAAATTAAATATCAAAGAAAATAATCAACGTAATTATATTTGAAGTAAAAGCAAAAATATTTCTATTTTAATATATTAAAGTTAATTAAGAACGACTGCACCTCATATTTCTTAATGCAATGAATTAATTTTCGAAAGAGAAACATAAATAAAAACTAAAAATAAGAAAATGCAATTAATTCAAACAAATAATTTAATGTAACTTCATGTAATTAATAATTAAAACAAAATTTAACTGCTTATTAATACGATTATCGTATATTTATTCCAAGAACCTGATGACTAAGCTTTAAATTTTCACATCTAGGGAGGTTATCGACGTGATCGATTGATCTATCGATCATTACAGGATCTCATGTAATTTGCTTGCGTGCAGAGTTCGCAAACCGGTCGGTCTAGCATGTATGTGGAATAATATCATGGAACCTATCGAAGTAACTCGCACACGTGCCCTCTGCTTCTTTCGACACATCGATTTCTCTTTATTGGACACCCAGTGTCCACTCAGCAAGTATATAATTATCCATGCAATACGTGTTAAACACGCGCTGCGATATTAATTAAACGATATATGATTCCCAAATAAAAGAACATCTTTAAGCGAAAGAACAAGATTGGCCGACATAGATAACGAAATAATTTTGAGAAAGACTCTATTTTTATATTCGACAACGTTTGGATATAATGTCGTGACAATTCGACCATTGGTTTTGGTCAGATTAATCGTCAAGACTTTTTCGACTATACGTTTTGGTCGTTTCTAAATTGATTTAATCTTTGATACTTACATATAAGCATCTCATTTTTATTAAATTAAATTATTAAATTTATTGCAAAAGTATTATCTCAGCCAGGGTTCGAACCTTGTTTTATTTAATATTTTAGTCGATAGGTAAATTGAGATGTAAAATATGCAATAGCAGATTTAGCAAACTCATCTTTAAAAATTTTAACTCAGGTAGCTTTTAATCGATCCAACTGGCACATATGCTACCTGCGTTAAAATTTTTAATTTTTCACTGGCGAATCAAGCTCATTGTTTTTGTTTTTCAAACGCTTTAAGTTTGCAAATTTACAAAATTAATTTAACGTATCTAGTTTGCTTAAAAAATTTAGATAGATCGCATTTCGTAATATTAGATTATAAAATAGTAAAACAAATAAAAAATATATCGCACTTTTTCGCTGTTTCGGTGCCCTCGATTCGAGGACGCCTGGAGTAATTGTCCGAATAAACCGCACCTTAACCCGACTCTCTGAACGGACGACCGAGACGCGGATATGACTAAACTTTCGAAATGATTGACGAGGCAACTCGGCTCCTACGAGCAAACAAGACAAGCTCCCGCACACGCGCCCGTTTCGCCAGCAATTATCGCATAAATGAGGGCGACCATTAAGGCCCGCCGTCGTAATTATCCGTGTCTTGTCTTACATAGGGAATATACGTACTTCACTTGAGTTTCTTTTTTAATAGAGCCATTTGTACGGGAGATGTTTACGCTCTCGCACATCGACAGGTGTTCTTATGACTTCGAGATTGTTGGTCAACGTTTACAACATCCGTTATTATTCACGTAAACTTTTTCTTTGTAAAATTGCATTCGGTGAAACCGTAACGCATGATATGTAAAAATACGAAACTACCCCGTGTTTGTGTTATTGTAATCGCGTTGCATACTGAAAAAATCGATAAATCGATAATTCTCTGCGATGAAAAAATAAGGGCGATATTGTCTTTGGAAGGCACCGGTTAAAATAAAAGAGAAAAGAGAAGAGTTAAACTTGATATAAACGCATCGCTATATATTGCGCGATAATATTGTAATTTAAATATATATGGTAATTATTTGATGTTACACTCTCGTCAAACGACAACATATAGTTTTGCTTTGAAAAATAAGGATTCTCTTAATATTTTATCTCGCGTTTGGGAAAAGTCCGAACGTGACAACCGCGAGCGAAACACAATTGATTCTAAATTAAATCTCAATATCATCTTATGTAGCTTTTACTATTATACCTACTATAAATCTTAGAATCAAAAATTAATTTATAAAGTAGTAAAAGACACAATTTAATGTATTATCATACAACCATCTCAAAAAATATAACTTTCAGTTTATTAATAATAATTATTTTATATACTATATTTAATTTTATTTAACTTATTATTGAAATATTGAACTGCATGTATATAAATTAAACGTTAAAAATGTATTTTTAAAATTTTTAAACAAAGTTAGAAATCAGTTTACAAAAATTTGAATAAAAAATACGAATAATTAGACAATCTTTTTTTATCGCGCAAGGATTAGTAGTAAGAAATTATTGACAAGTACTCACTGGTTTGATTTTGAAAGTAAGGGTCATCTCTGTCGGTGAAAAACCAGGTCTGCAAATAGAAACAAAAAAAATTCGTTATATTTTGATTATACATACGCGACCACTTTCGATTATACCCGATGCGGCGCAATAATCACGCTACGGCACGTACGTGTTCGATTGTTTACCGCGGACCATCCAGCCAAACGCATCACGTATCGATCATAAATTTCAATCCCTTTCTTATCCCTTCGCAGTGGATCGCTCCATTCGCTAGTTATATGCAATAAATCTTATCTTATAGCCTTAAAGCACTTTGCGCCAATACGATACACTTCTCTCTCATTTTTGTATTCGCGAGATAGAAATCATAACAAGTTTTGAAAACGAAATGGGACATAGAAACGGGCACTCGTTAAAAAAAATATCATATGTAAATGTTGCGTTATAAATATACGCGCGATACCACAAACAACTATATTTATTTATAGAAATCACAAGAAAAAGCAACTCTATAATCCTAACTCGCACTGTCGCATATATCACGTAGAATATTCTATTTCCGCAACTACAAAACTACTTGAAAATATAATCAACATCTTCTAGTTACGGTCTGTAAAATAATGTGTATGTTGTAAATTAAAATGTCTTCGGAAGAAGATAGATAAATCTTATTATTAGAATTCTCTTTTGCTTTAATCGCTGTCCAAAGTAAAAAAGTAAAAAAAGAAAAAATGCCCAGAACGTGTGATAAATGATAAAGTGGCATATACTTTCAATTAAGAACTATTCAAGTTTCTCGTGTATTTCGTCGCGCTGGAAAATTTATCTCGGAGCACCGCGAGCTGAAACTTCCCATTTGTATCTGTCGCATCGCACACCCTTTCCGTGGCACTTGCATCTGGACTCGTACGTATCGCAGCGTCGTTACGTTACGATCAGCGTACGCTGCACGTGTTAAAGTAGTCGCTTATTTTTAGTTCCCAGGAGGAGTAGTTCCCTTCAGGAAGTGAACGAGCAAGAACAACCGAAGGAGGAGGTGTGGTGCATCCAGACGTCAGAAGCATTGTCCCCGATGATTTTCACGCGACGATATATCGCGTCGGTCCTATATAAGCGACCGGGAAAACCGAAGAACATGAAAAAATGCGATGCTCGGTTGCGTGATTTTACATTCGATCGCCATTTCCACCACTAAAGCGGTACGTTGGTACGTTAATAAAATTCCACGAACGCAACTTGGTAGAGAATTTCGACGCAATTACAGCATATCTCTAATAAAGGCATACCTAATATCTCTATATAAATTTTATATCGGCCAATCATTAAATGCACGCTGCACATGCCAATGCTCGCGTTCTGTTTCATTAATTAAAATAGAATTAACTCGCTTATATTGAATTGATCACACAAAGCATTACATAAATAATGCGGGATTTAATCAATGATACAATCTCTGAGAACAAATTTAGTCGACCGCATGTGTATCGGGATTATGCAAGCTTCAAGCAGAATAAACTGCAGTTGCCTCAATAAGTTCGCCTGCATGCATATCTCGGATGTAGCTATAGCGGATATCCGTGGTGCAACGTGACAAACGTAAAAATAGCGCGTGTATAAAGGCTCTACAATTGTAACACGTTTATCTGAGGCATGCGGATAGAGAAAAAAGGGAGAGAGAAAGAGAGACCCGGAGAACTCGTCAGCGTTCCCAGAAAGAACATGAATATCCGGCAACGAATGAATGTCGCGTACAAAAATAAGAGACGGGTGTATCGCAATGACGTCAGTGGCACCGGCGTCGCATTACATCGACATAATTGCATTAATCCCGCACGTATGTCATACTTAAAAGAACCGTCGTTAAGCTGATCTTCGAGCTTTCCCGGGAATTCGTCGAGCCGTCCCGAGTGTTGGTTATTCCGCTCGTATCGCACGGTATCCAACATTTGTGAATGTGTCAAGAGCGTACAATCATATTAAGACTCGCTCGTTACGTCTAATTAGACGAATTTGTCCTAAAAGCACGAAAAGAAATTTAACGATTGCGTTTCTACCTACGCGAAACAAACATATATTGCCTTCCCCATAATATTGCCAATTTCCGTAAGGAAAAGAATAAGTCATAAAAAATGTTTATGAATTTATATACGAATTTCCTGTTAAGATAAATAATAGCTTGATTAATGTAACACTGAGCTTGATTAATATAACACTGATGAAACACGTAACTTCTGACATGTGAGACAAAAGTCTTATAATTAATTAGATATGCCATTAATATATCGAATGGCCGGATTGTGTGCTACAATTATTCTCGAACACGGATGACAAATAAGTAAAAAATGAATAAAATCCAACATAAATATATTTGACGCTATACAAAAGAATGAATATATTTTTGCGTGCGAAATCTTGCAAAATTTTAGTCTTTTTATGTCTAATCCTTTTTTAGACGTACGGGATTTTTACGTAATCTTCAATCAAAGAGAATTGGATATAGTACTTATCGTTTGGCGATGCCGATGCTGCCGGTAATGATTGATTATATCGAATTGGAGGTCAATTGAAAATCGCAGCCCTAGCAACTCTCAGCGCAAATAAGAGCAATGGAAATTAAGAGGAAATAATTCGCCGAAGCGCAGTGAGCTCTCATCGGCGCGCCGCGCTAAATTGCATCGGACCTTTTAAGACTTGCTTAAATAACCAAAGTAATCGACCAATTATCCGAAGCCAGTTTCCGACCGGCGCGGGTCGGCCTTCGACGATTGAGGGATTGCCGAGGTATCGGCCGAGTCATTCTAAGTAACGACACCCGACTTTGACCCGCGATCAACCCTCGAGATCTCGAGGGGTTCTTTTTATGAATCACGAAAATTTGTACCTAACCATGTGTGTCCACACCTCCGCTTAATAACACGATAATCGAACGGCATGACCATCAAGTTTAAAGAAAGGCGCAAGAAAAGATTTCGTCGAATTTTCGGTCTCAATAAAGGTTACAACTAAAAAAGCTTAGTCAAAAAAATTTCGAAAAAAGTATCTTTATTAAGCATAAAATTACCGAAATTTGATTGAAAAGATTTCAAAGAAAATGCTTTTAACCACTCTTTTGAATTGTAATTTGGAAGTAATGGAAGCAGCTTATTAATTTGATATTTCATTGTTCAGACTTAATAACAGCTGATATTGCAAAATCATAACAAATAAATTTTGGATATATTTTGAGAAAATATCGACTCAAAAAACTGATCGAATGAATTATTATCAGAATCAGAATTAAAAATTCTTAAACATTAAGATAGTATAAAAAATATTCGCAGATACATTATGCATGTAATCTTTACTGCTATTATAACAATCCAGATTTTGTAACAAGACATAAATCTCAATTGTTTGCTGGATTTCCAGGCGGATGTCTAGAGAACGATTTAAACGAACGGATATTAACTACTTGATCCTATTACATGCCACGTAAAACACCGAGCCCATAAGAACGAGAAAAGAAGTAGGTGGCGAGGTGTATAAATGTGGCTATTAAAGGTCATTAACAGCGTCGTAAGGTGGCGAAGGGGAGAAAGGGAGCGAACATGGGGATTGTGCCAACAATAAATGCGCAATCAATGTTCCTCCTCAGTGGAGCGCATTATTAAAACGCATTACTTGTGATATACGACGTATTAATAATCAAAACATTGCGACCTATTGCTCACCTCTGTCCAATTTAGGAGAGAAACTTAACACTTCGACAGCGCGCTACTGCACGCAATACTCTTGTACTTTTCTTTTCTTAAACCCATAAAAGCTTATTTTAAGACTCCAGAAAAGAGTTTTAACATATATATATACCAAAGACAATAAAATTGTATTCTAAAATTGAAATTGTTAAGTGCAAAATACCATAAGAGATTATTAACTGATTATATAAATAACATTTATATATAATTTTCTCTTTATCACAGCTTCTAAGATAATTTCTTTTCACATATAGATAACGTTATTAGTCGCAATTGATTGCATAATATTTACAAGTTTTGTAAAGTAATTATTTAAAAAAGACTGTTTAAATATAACTTATTGTTAGATATACCTAATTTAAATATAATTCATACATTTGGTCAAAAAGTAAACAAGTGCCATTCTGCATTTCATGATTATTTCAATTGGAACTTAATATACTTTTTTACTCCATGCTATGGTATCAATCTTCAAAGCTCATGATGCACTTAAGTACGTTCATTTTTGCTAAGGCTGTTTTGTGAAAAATTAAGGAAATTTTGGGAATATCTAAAGAAATCGATCTACATTTTCCAGACTCATTGCAAATAATTTTGAACCTATAGGCAGATGGCTGCAGGGTTTCTACTCAAGTCTATTATCTTCACCTATATAAATCAGTTACCGTAAATTGGATCGTAAATTTCTAATCTCGAAAGGAAAGAAAGAACAAGTTTTCTAATCGTTCAAAATTATTGATTAATTTTTTTATTCGCAAAATTCTTTATCTCTTTCGGATACTCTTATTTCACCGTTTAAAACATAGGTACGTGAATTTTATAAATTATAAGTGTTTAAATGAATAATGAATCATCTCTCTTTTACAAGTGCACCATTTCATTAATTATGCGCTTAAGCTGCGAACATGTAATCATTTGAATCAATACTCATCGTTTACAATATAAACAAGTTCCTTTATACAATTATAATCTTTTTTTTTATACAATATTATATGCACCGAGTGCATCGGATTTCAGCAACAATACGTGAGAATCAATAATAACCCCGATCTCACACACGCAAATTAAAAAACGATCGCTCCAGCCGACTCGCAGGATCGTGGCGTATCGTTTAATTATCGAGAAAGAAACAACGAAAAAGGTGAGTTCGTTGAGAGTGCTCGTGGGTGGACTAAGTCGGCTAACGCGGAGGTCGTCCAGGGTCGGAGGTAAATCGTGAGATCTTCCCACGAACCACAAACCGTACACAGCCGTACACAGACTTTTATTATTCTCATCGCACTTTTTCTCGCTCGCGTTGCGGAAAATGCGTGCCGACGCGAGTCACAGGCAACGTGCAACGCGAGCGTACGCGTGGAAAAAGCGTGAGATCGACGGGAGCAAAGAGTAATCCAGATACGAAGCAAATTAAGACACCGCGACACGTCATAAGAATTACGAATGCTGCTTTCATTGCGGACACAATTCGGATAATCTTATAATCTGTTTCGATCCTTATTCCTCGAAATCATTGACGTATATTACGCATATATGAATCCTTATCGATTCTTAATTCAATTCATCCAAAAATGCAGAGCTTTATCACCGTATATAAATTGTATTCTTGTTAATACATGGTAATTGAAAGATATGAAAACAAATATGTAATAAATACTTTTAATGACATTTATTTTTATAGATATGTATTCTCATTTTTATAACTTGAGGCTTAACTTGAACATAGCGATATTAAGTATAAAAAAATTTAATAACATTAAACTGATCAAATGGAGACTTAGAACGTTATAATATAAAAAGAATGTTGCAATTATACAATTGAAAATTAAGACTCGATAAGAAAATATCCAATTGCCAGAAATAATATAAATAATATATAGATAAATGCGCATAATAATATATATAACAATATATACATAATATATATAAGTAAATGAATCGAGGATATGAAATGAAAAATTAGAAGAATGAAGTCAAATCAAAATGTCCATAAACAACGCGAACAATAAACGCGAGATAATGTACCCATAACTGAATTCGCTGAAGTTTGTTCCCTGAAGAGTGAAGAGCGTAGAGGAAATCAACCGAGATTACAGGAAACGCGAGAACTCGTGCAAATCCAGGTAGTAATTACCTGGAGGAACGGTATATTAACCCGGCGAAGTGCAGAAAGACGCGGAAGCCGAGATGCACGAGTATTTTGTTTCTTTATCCGACGCAAGAATCATCACCGGCATATGAGAAATTCTCAAGGTTCTTCATTAGTATTAATTATCAAAAAATGCTTGTTCGTTGTCCTACCGAATCCTATCAAGTACTAGATAATACTCGATACGTACTCGATGTTTTTCGATAAATAAATTTGTAAAAATAAAGATATATAATAATGCGCATATGTACATACACGTAATTATTTATTAATTTAAATCTGAATACAAATATGTAATTTATACTAATGAAGATAGCGTAAGTGCCGTGCGCTTAAAGAAAAAGATTTTAATCTATTATATGTATATTTATTATAGTTTAAACGGTCCAATCAATTTAATTCTGTAGCAACAACATCGCGTAAATTTGGCGAGGAATAGCGCCTCTTGTTTTCGCAAGGTACGGACGGCACCAGCGATATTATTCGAAAAGGCAAATGAGAAATTGTAGAGAAGGAAGAGTGGAACGAATCTTATTCCCACGGCGCGAGAAATCGTGAATTCACGCTGATCATCGGCGACACGGTCTACGGTAAATACGCGCGAATACGCTTCGATACCCTTGGATAAGGCCCAACGAGTCATGTACAAAGTGTGGCCTATTCCGCCCTGCAAGAAAGCGCGTAGATGAATCTCGCGATGATGGAGACATCGCGATAAGACTGTGCGTGCATTTATCACATTTTAACACGATTAATTCTTATGGTTCTCATCCGCGTTCTCTGTTCTCTTCACGAGTAATAACGAACAAATAGAATCGAGTAATAACGAATAATATTCCTCAAAAATAATTTTTTTTTTAAATACCAGGTATTTTTTATCAGAAAAAATATTGCACCCGTGTAAAAACTAACTTTAACATTGAAAATATTACTCAATACATTTAGTAATAAGGAAATGTCTATATAAATGGAAAATGAAAAGCGGTTGTATTTAATTATACGTTATTAATAAGTAGATTCGAGGTAGTTCGAAGTTTGCAAATGCTGAGCGACATCGAAAATTCGAAATACACTCAACTGTTTATAAAGCAAGTAAAACTTATCAAAAGTGGTAATAAAATTAATGTATACCGTTATGAATAAAATAAATATAAAGGATACATAAATCACATATCGGAAGGTAACCCAGTTATTGAACAACAGTCTCAGAAAGCTTCATTATTTTCAGTCGATCGGGCTATATTCGTAACGAGGTTGTCGGAGCACAAGAAACGGGGTGATCGAGCGACGCTAATAAATCCGGAATATCGGCATTTCACGGCAATCAGCGCGGCTTTAAAGAGGCTCACCTGATTCCTGGCGAACTGGAACCACGTATCGACGATGGCCGGCAAGCGGGAGTGATGATAGTGCTTGGTGGTCTTCACGCTGATAAACACGTCGTCGAGATTCGTGGCGAACGGTGCCATAGTCGCCGTCGCCACCGGCGGCGTCACCGCCGACTCCTCGCTGATTAACTTTCTCAACGCCGGCACCTCCACTATCACGCTTCGGCTATTCACTTCCGCCACGTTCATCTCGTCGACCCACTGCGACACACAATTACCAGAATATATTATTAAAATGAAGAGAAAAATGCGTGAGTTTCTCCTGCGGAGGACTTTCCTCGGCGCACGGCGCCAATATATTGAGAAAGGATTGAAAAATATTTCTTACGACATCAAATTACTTTCATGGACACAATGTCGTTTAATAAAACAGGATGTCTTTTATTAATATTAACCGAGTAACTGATATAATATATCAAGATAACTGATTATTATGAAAATATAATTATAATGTTCCGCATTAACACTTAATTTGTTGTGCCGATTTGGATTCGATTTTTTTCTCCACAAAGGTATAAAAAAAAATAATTTTTCTATGAATTTGTCTATTCTTAACATTAAATATCTTCACAATGTTTCTTTGAGCTTTAATTTCGAACCCTATAAAAAGTAAAATCTACTTAATATTAATTGAGAATGTAATATTTTGTTATTTAATTTACGCTACTCTCTCAACCAAGTTTGTAAAAATGCATTTACTTTTAAATGTTAATTATTCAAAAACTATCAATGTCCGAATATTTTTGAATACCATATATCTGTGACTAAAGCATTGATGCGCAACATTCACGTCATCAGTTTCTCAGGTAAACATTGTCATAATTAAGTAAATAATAAAAAGCTATAACTGAACTTAGATGCTTTTAACGCGCATGGATCTTATCAAAAAACGGCATCTTTTCTCTTTTAATATAATGTAACTTGAACGAGTGTGAGTAAAATTATAAAAACTATCATATCGCTGATTTGCTACAACGACATAACTGCAAAAGAATGATGAGAACTGAACGAAGAGTTGATATACCTATAGTTAGATATTTTTATTCCTCTACAATCAGTTATCCTACACTAAAATAATATTTAAATATAATATTACAAAATTTTAATGATTCAAAACATTCAACCTCATTTTCTATAAAACTTTTTATTTGTTGAATGTGTCATTAATTGTTGCGGCAAATAGACGATATATCGCAGATTTATTTTAATTTTAACCACGGAATGTATTAAATGCATGAAGCTCTCTTCTTTCTACATTCGCTCAGAGACAAATCTAAAACTTCAAACTTATCTGTCGCATCAAGGGTAGGTATGCGGCGACGACAACCCGACATCTCAAGCAAGGTTGTGCCGTAAATTTCAAGATTACATCTACATGAGTCGTTTACGTATTACTTACGTTATGTTTAAACGAGTCTTTTTCATAGACAATATAAGCCGTGTAAATTATTGTAAATTGAATAATTGATTAATTTCTTTAAACTGTACTTTTGCAAACAGTCCTACAAAAATAAAAAGTAATTTTAGACTAGATTAAATGCATTTCAGTTATAATTTATTTATTAATTGTACAGTGATATAAATTAAAAATACATGATACTAACACATATGTAAATGCAAAAATATTATTTACATTGAACTGTGAGCTTTTAAACAACAAAAAGCAGTATTTAGTGCTTTTCTTTTTTTCATAGAAAAAACCGAAATCTTTAAAATCATTGTTAATGTTTTATGGTAATTTTCCTAAAAATTGTGCCCAAATTAAATAATAACTAAAAATAAAATTGCAAACAAAACATAAATTTTTGATATTTCTGACGAAATAGAAACGTTCGATGATCCGTAGATTATTCATCGTTTATACGATTATTCATCGTTTATTATACGTCACGTTAAATTATTTTGCGGACAAGGTAAGAGATAGCATTAGACAATAGACATTATATAGAGAATTATGACTTTACCAAAGATTGATTTATAGAATGAGGAAGAAGTAATAGATAAAATATGGAATAATGAATTAGATAGGGCTAAAGGAAAGGCGTTGAAATAATTATGGAAACAGAAAGAGGTTAGAGTAAGGAAGAGTAGATAGGAGTAAGTATGGTTGCATAAAAGGTATGAGTGAGTTAAATTACTTTATAAACCAAGTCCACTTCTCGACATAAGTTGAAGTTAATAAAAATTGATTAACATTTTTATTACATTTTAAATAAAGACCCAACCCTTTGATTTTGAGTAATTTCAAGCAACATATACATATATGTGTATATATATATATATATATATATAAGTATACGCCAACGTTGTCAGTCGGATTCAAACGATCTCGTTCGACTCGGTTTTGGCTGGCGGGCGAACGCAGGCGTCGCAGGACTGGAGTCCGCGTCGCCGGGACAGCAGGGGGATCTGGGGAGATAACGCGACGATAACGATCGTTCTAATTACCTGGCGCGGTGCGACGGCCTGGTAGAGGAGAATCGTGGCGTAGGCGGTAGCGATGACGAGCGCCAGCGCCTGCAGGCCACGTCTCGTCGTCGGCAGACCTCGTGGCATCATGCCCGGGCCGACGGCGACGGCGACGGTGAGCGGCGTACGAGCCTGGGGGCTGCTAACGGACTTGCAGGGCCACGGGCCCCCACGTTCCACCACCGCGGGATCCGCGCAACGATCCTTCGGGCTCATCGACGGCCGCGCCGCTCCGTCGCCACCCTCATTTCGTCCCGCGAGCAAAAACGCGCGGACCATTAACAATTCGACACGCCGGCGAGCGCGCGTTATCTCTCGCTCTCGCGAATTCGCGGGCCTTCCCGCCGCGCAGTCACGTGATTACCGCGCCAACTTCACGTCGTTTCGCGAAGCACCCCCTCGCGCGCTACTTCTCTCCCTCTCGCGACACTCGGATTCTCGAACGCCTCGATGCCCTCGATTGTCCCGTCAATCACCCTCGCGCACGGTCACTGTCAGTTCACGTGGCACCATTGTAACATTTCGTGTCAATTCGTGTAATCGACCGATTCGGAGCACGCGCACACTTATCCGCGCGAACGACGGAATTCGCGCTTCGCTGGCACTCCGATTATTGCTTGATATTCGACGCACTTCATTTCGGAAATCGAGTACCGGTCGTGAACTCGTCACGAAATCGATCCTCTAACAATAAGTTCTAATCCATACAAAATGAGATCCATGCGTTAAGCGAGAGAAACGCATCGATGTAACATCGCGCGCGCACTTTTCCAAACGTTCAAGCCCACCGTTTTTCCGTCTCGTCGAACTCCGTCCGTTTGGCCGATCGTCGGACAGCCCGCAGCCGTCAACGTACCGAGAGACGGGGTTGGGGAGAATAGCGGTCCGCGGGTGACGGTGACGGTGACGGCGTGACGCGAAACACAATCCGATTCGATATACAGCGCGAACGCGCCCACTGTTACCCGACGCACGACGGACCACCGACTGATCACACGAGCCTGACGAGCCGTTACCGTGACTACGCTGTAAACATCGCCATAGCAGGCTGGCACGTCGCCGGCCGGGGTGGGAGAGAAGCGGTGTCGAGTGCCGAGCCAAGCCAACAGGCGTGCGGCCGCCCTTGAGAGGGGATAGATCGAGAAACGCGTACACACACCGGCACACCACTTTTTCGAACGTCACGCGCGACGGAAAACTTCTTACCAAAAGAAAATTTTTTTTTTAATAGAACCGACTTCAAAAAAAGCTCTAAAAGGTATTTAAAAAATTTAAAAAAAATTGAAAGAGTATTTTAAAAAGTATAAAATAATTGAAAGTATTAACTTTTAAGAATCTCTTTCAATTGTTTGAAATCGGTGCAAAATTAATAATTATACTTTTAAGAATCCCTTTCATTGCCTTTCAATTTGTTTGAAGTCGGCGCCAACGTAATAATTACTAAATAAATTTGGCGCCAACTTCAAAAATTGAAAGGAATTCTTACAAGTATTATTACAATTTTGCACCAATTTCAAAAAATTGAAAGGAATTCTTAAAAGTTAATACTTTCAATTATTTCATACTTTTTAAAGCTTTTTCAATTAAATACCTTTTAGAGCTTTTTTTGAAGTCGGTTCTATTTAAAAAAACAAATTTATTTTATACTTTTTTAATGCTTCATTAAATTAATATGAATAATTATTATCGCATATTTTCTTACTGCTCCGTATACCCTGATATTCTAGCGCGATATTTTATGTACTAAAACCTGGAGAATTGCTCTATGTCTATAGGTCATTGAAAACCGCATTTAAATCCGTTCAGTAGTTTTAGAGAAAATCGTGGACATACATACATACACGCCGAATATAGAACCTCCTTTTTTTGAAGTCGGTTACAAAGTGCCTTTCGGTATGCGAAACGTTTCTAACGACAAGCATACGCGCGTGCACGTGTAAATATATGTTATACAATATTATTCCATGCGGTGTTAGTTGATTGAGATTTAAGTCGCAAAAGCAACTTTCGCGAATTCGCGTAAATTCGCGTTTTGTAAAAAATTACATTTTGTATGTACGCAAAGAAAAAAAATAAATGTTACATTGGCAGTATTAGCTAACAGCAGTCTTAATTGAAAATAATCTTATTAATTTATAAATATCATGCTCTCTTGTCATGTTTAAGAAAAATGTTATTTATTTTCAGGACCGTGCAAAGATAAGGATGGGACTTTTTACCTGAATTTAGTATTTAAAAAGTTATTTTAAGAAAATTAATATAATAAAACAATATAATTTTAAAATTACTTATTTATAAATAAGTACATTTTTAAAAAGAAAAGCAGAATATCACAAAATTGTGAAAACATAAATAGAATTACACAAATAGAATTTTATAATTCTATAATAAACTAAAAAACTTTTTCGACCCAACTGATAATGTAATTAAAGAATTAAAACTACAATCTTTTGTTATTTCATTTTCAATTAATAATAATATTGTACAAGCGTTTACTCTTTAATTCTTTTTGTAACATTGAAGATTGTAAGTACGATTTTAATTTACTAAAACTTCTCTCATCAAATTCTACAGTTACCTATATCTATACAGTGTAAAATATACTCGTAAAGCTGATGAAAAGCAGATGGAAACAAAATTAATTTGCATACAAATTATAATTTAAATAAATATCTATTAATTTGAAAACAATAGAAAATAGTTATATTTTTACCGAAATTTCACCCTTAATATGCATCCGCTATACTCCCTTTTGCACGGACCTGTTTGTTTTATTAGTACTGTTGTTAAATTAACAAGATTATTTTCAGTTAGCTAATGGAGTCTAATCATCATTTTTTCCGTGCACGTAAAGACTAAAGAGTAGTCTTACGTATTAAATATTAAATATTAATATAAAAAAAATAAAACCTTGTCACGTTACATTCAGTCGAAGTGGCGAATTTCGCTCTAGAGGCAAGTTTTGATGAATTTATTTTGGCTGAGAATATTTTACTTAATTATCACATTTCAATAATATTGATGAGATAATAATACTGAAATGCATATCTTAAAGACATATATATGTGTATTATTTTTCAAAATATATAATAATCTGTTCTTAAATATAAGACTAACATGTTATGGACGAACCTGATTTTGAAACGAAGTCATCTCAATCAAAAACATTATAATTTTTAATTTTATCTATTTTTTATTATATCGTATGTATTTTACATTGTCGCGAATTTAACAGTTACACCAATAAAGCTATATATCTATAAAACCTATAACATCTGCCAATCCTCTAATATATTGGTCTTAGAACGACAAAAGAAAAGAGAAGTATGAATAATATATGTACGTAAAATTACAGAATATACAAAAAAGAATATACCACAAGAAAATTGACCGATAATTTTATATTTTACATTTCTATTTCATGCATTAAAATCAAAAGAAAAAAATCATCTATAATTGAACGTAGCAATCTTTCTTAATTACAGAAAAAAAACATATATATATATATATATATATATATATATATATATATGTTTCGTACAAACACATTTTTGTAGTTAACGATGCTATAGGAAGCAAAATTTCCCATTACGTAATTACGTAATGGTACTGTAAACAGTAATATTATTTAGCTGGTATAATAATACAAATAAATATAAATAAAATAGATTGTATATATGTATATGCAATGTAATTCCATAAAATACTAAATAATTTATCTCTTCGCAGTCATTTATACGCGCATTGTAACTTTACTTTTATAAATCTCCGTTACTTATGTACCTTCCGATATCTTTAATTTAGAAATTTATTTTCGTAGTCAACAACGTGCCGCAATCTAATTATCATGTTTAATTTTAATTAAATTCAAATACCGATTCGTTATATGTATATATGTACAGATCGATATACTATACAGAATGACAATAGTGTTGTGAGCGCACAACGTTATAATGATTAATTATAATAATGTACTTGGCAACACCGAGTTGCCTCCAATAGGTAATCCGACCCGGAATAGCAACTAAAGTCGAATTTGAATTCCGCCAAAAACCTGACGATTGCATCGGACAATCGACCTTCCGATAGTTCCGATGCAAACCGACACCGGAACCAGGAGCGTTCAACTCCAGGATGACCGAAAGCGCTGATGCGAAGGTCAGCGCAAAACGCTGACAACGATCGAGAAGTCAACGCTAACTCATCGGGAGCCCCCTAGTTAGCAAGGGTGTCGATTCCGACATTATAAATACTGGCCTTCACACATAAAATGCCGTAAGAATGTAAACGTAAGAATAAAAAAATCGATCAATCCAAATCAAGTATTTTCCCCTATTGGGGTTCCAGACAGCACAATACTTGATTGGGATTGGTCGATTTTCTTACGCTTACGTTTTACGTCCTTACGCGATTTTATGTGTGAAAGCCTTACCGCCGAATAGGAAGATCAGGCGGGCAGTCGCTGCTAATAAACATCTAAGCGTTTACATGCGTCACATAATTTACCCTCACAATAACTGTCACAATAATTATAAATCGTTATAATCATTAAGCGACTCAAGTATAACTCAAATATCGGGACTTAATAGTAATTGAGACAATTGTTAACTTGACACAAGAAATATATATTTCAATTAGTTTATTAAACACAGAGTGCGATGAGTTAATTCATTCTCCGACTCGGAATTCCCGAATCCTGTGCCGACCCTAAGCACCAACTCCCGGTTACGGCACAACAGTAGATAACAAGCCCTCGGTTGAAAATAATTGCAGAGTATAATTTTAACATGATCGATCGTTGGTAACGTCGCGACGATCAGAACGCGACGGCGCCGACAGCCATTTTATAATCGTACTTGATACAAATTCGATGTGTCACTAATGTATACATTGTTGAAAAATATCATTTTTGGGCCAGTTTTTCAACGTCGATTAAACTGTAACCCGTAACCTTCGATTAAACTCACTCTTCATCTCTTTCTAATGTCCATTTCTACCAATATAGATTAACTTTAATCTCGGTTTAACTTACTTTCTATATATTTATCTAACTCTTAAAATTAGAAAAAGATGAAAGGTAAATTAAACCGAGATTAAAGTTAATCTGCGTTGATAGAAATGGACATAACTGTCCCCCTTATATTTATTTCTACAGGTAGATTAACTTTAATCTCGGTTTAACTT